AGGACAGACGTAGTAATCGAAAAGCTGTCATAGAATTTCTCGTTTTGAACGGAGTGCTGCAATAGTTTAACGAATGTTTATGGAAAGGCTGAAGTGGATTTACGCAAAGTAAAGAGATTGGTAGTAATGATAATGTCAGTCGGAGATAGGGAGAAAAATAACTAATCATAGTGACAGGCTCCGAAGTGGCAGGTCAGCTGATTCTCTGAATGAGGTTAAGGCTAAATAGGCCCCTGTTCTCATTATTGCTGCTAAAAAAAGAAAAAAAAAAGAAAAAAAAAAGAAAAAAAATCTGCCCAAAGTGTTCTTACACAGTTGAAAGACTTCATATAGAGTTAAATGTTCTAGAATTAAATTTGTCTCGGGTTTGTGAGGCAGCACGCAGAATCCAGCGGTTCTGGGTAATGATGTCAAAGAAAGCAGGTTAAAGGTTTCTACCACAGGACTATACGTGGAAAAAAATAGGATTATTCAGGGAAAGGTAGAATACAACGTTACTGAAAGATTAGTACATTGAGGACTATATTTGGAATTCAGAGTCTGTTGTATTCATTTGGCGTGAACTTCAAATATTAAATATGTCCTAAGTAATGAAATACAAATCGTGCTTTTTGAACGGTCCTTATATCACGTAGAGGAAAGAAGGAGACTATGTTGAAAATTAGAGTTGTAATCCTGGTGCATTTGTGCTCTATTTGGTACGCTTTCCTTGAGGTTACTATTAGAACTGTTGAAATGAGTGATTTTACAGAACCTTGTGCCATGATTGAGAATAAAGTAAAATGTTAACAGGACGAGATTCAGAATCCAGTATCTTTTATGCCAATTTCGGTAGAATTTGCACGCGACTTCCAAAAAGCAGTCTTTATCAATTCTTTTAAGAAAGAAAACTATAAGACAAGATTTGGTTTGGTTTGGTTTATTTTATTTTACGGCATATCAACCTCAATGGGTTATGTAATGCCGACAACATTTTTAGGATAGATTCGTATGAATAGAGTATGTATTCTTTGGTTTAGATTGGTTTGGTTTAATTTGTTTTACGGCATATCAACCTCAATGGGTTATTTAATGCCGACAACTTTTTTAGGATAGATTCGTATGAATAGAATATGTATTCTTTGGTTTAGATTGGTTTGGTTTATCTTGTTTTACGGCATAGCAACGTCAATGGGTTATTTAATGCTGACAATTTTTTTTTATTGCTGGTAATATTTTGTTTTGTTAAAAATCTGTTTCTGGTAATATATTTCCTTCAAAATTGTATTGCTGGTAATAATTTTTCTCCAAAAAGTATTGCTGGTAACAGTTAACTATTTTCCCATTGCTGGGACCCTAACAGGTGCTACCACCCCGGGTCAGAGTGGGCCTGGTAACACCTGCAATTAGGAGGCCGTTCCACGCTCCACAAAACCTCCTGATTAGAGGCCTTGCTGCTGGTCGTAGTTTAACGTCTTACCCAAGACGCTGATGTAGTTTAACGTCTTACCTAGGACGAAAGACAAGATTTGGAATGCTGAGTCTTTTGTGACAATTTTAGTAAGCTTTTCCTGCTTCTACTACTAAATTTGTTTTAATTAAAGAACCGACTCTGATATCACGACTGAAAAGAAATGAGTCTATGAGGACTAGACATGAGGATCCTTAGACTAGTGTGTCTACTGCGGTATGCTTTGCTGACTTTAATTATTAAATCTTTGAGTCCTGACCACCACTTTACCGGTGGTAGAGAAAAATAACTTAATGCCCTGCCTTCGGTTAAACGGTGGGTGAACACTTGCGTCGTGTTTTGCTATTGGTTGTCTTATTTTGAAGAGCCAATCAGAAAAGCCGTAATATTCTGACGTCATCGAACGTTATACAAACATGTCTTCGCCTTTTCATTGTATTTTGTGCATGAGTTTTGGATTAAAATAAAAGATCGTTTTTACCAGGAAGCGTGCAGAGTCTCAACCTGAAGCAATCAGGAAGTTATATTTTTTGTAATTGTTTTTATATTTAACATGAAATATACCAATTATTTGCGAGTCAGGAGCTCAGGTAGAAGGGTTCAAATTGTTCAGGAACGCATGGCTCAAAGAGGACAGGTATTACTTTTTGACTGAGCTTCGTATTTGAAAATAGCTAAATGGAATAAGGAGTCACCTTAGCATATAAAGCGATGATTCTAAGTGAATCATCAGCGGTTGTAACGTTAACAGCAGAGGCTACGCAGATAACTTTCTGCTGATGGCAGATTGAGAATTAAAACTGAACGAACAATTAGAGAACGAAGCTTCTTAACAGAAGACATTAAGTGCGACACCGAGATCCGTAGACGTATTGGGATGGCCAAGGACACATTCCAAAAGCTGGGCAGAGGCAACAGGATTTCTTTGGTAACAGAGAAAAGAATACTGACCTATTACGTGACATCTGTCCTTCTATACGGCTGCGAATGCTGGACGATTCCCTCAAAGATGGACTCGGGGTGACGGAGATGTGATTCTACAGAAGGATGCTGATATATCATAGAACGAGCGTGTGAGCAACGACGAGGTTGCAAACAAGAAGGAGGCTTATACTTAATACAAGGAAGAGGCAGCTGAAGTTTCTGGGACATATAATAAGGAAGGAGGGCCTGGAGAATCACGGGTCAAATTGTTGTAGAGTAGTTTCACAGTGGAGGCTTGTATTTCACTAAGTCGGTCCTAAAATAGGTTCGACGTACAAAACGTTAGGCACTTGATATAATAGGTTATCTAGATAGAGATCTAGTTGTGGTGGCTGATACTTTGATATCCGACTAACGGTCGTCCGACATCTACTGACTGAGCAACTTCCCGAGCGACTTAGCGACTGCTACTACTCCTACTTATTATAGGTGGGAGAGTCTATTAACAATAGAATAGGCGTGTTCCAGTATAACACAAATAGAGAGAAAAAGAGATAAGGGAAAACAATGTGTGACATACCCAGCGGACTTAAAGTGGATGACAGAACATGGTCTGGGGGGAAGAAGCAGAGGGAAGGAACTTGTTGAGAGCTGCAAGGAATAGATGGAGAGCCATGATCGTCTATGTCCTGAAAAAACATGGCACATAAAAAGAGGAGAGAATTAACGAAACCGAGTAAAATATACGTTAACAATAATGACAAGAAGACAGAATTCAATGCGACGAGCAATAGGAAATGCTCAATATCTAAGCTATCCATCGAGGATGTCATTTTAATCAGTGACCCCACCAATTGTGACTTTGCTCCTACGCAATGATTCTAAAAATAAAATGCTTAGTTAGATTCAAGAGCCAGCATGCAACCAGATAAAATTTTAGAATAACGTCCCATGTTTGTATACACTCACACGTGCAATCATCGTGCTCTTTCTATCCGTAGGTCACTGAAGGTCGTCAATGGTCAAACTTATGAAGATCATCAAATCAATATTAACCCTTTGATCTCTGCGTTCCTAAACAATTTGAACCCTTCTACCTGAGCTCCTGAATCAAAAATTAACAAATAATTGGTATGTAATGTTTCACGGTAGATATAAAAACAGTTACAAGTGTTTACCCACCGTTCAACCGGTGGCTGGGCATTAAGTCATTTTTCTTTACCGCCGATAAATCGGTGGTCAGGGCTCAAAGGTTTAACGATCTATAGTTTACCTGCATCAACAAAGCTTACGGCCATATCACGCTGAAAACCGCTTCCGTTGCGACCACCGAAGACCAGATGCTGTAAGCCTGAATGCGCGGGTGGTGTAATGGATAATGTCTCAGAATTGTCAATCGGAGAGCAGAGTTCTAATTCCTGTTGTGTTCGTTATATTCCATTACCTGCAAATGCCATCGAGAAAGGTATGAATTAATCTCTTTCCCCCAGCTATGGGTTAATTAATAAGACTTGTATCACTAAAGTTATTATTATATCGAAAAAGAAATAAATGCGTACAAAATATTTAAATGTTGGTATTAAATGACCCGTAAAGGTTGATATGCCTTTAAACGAAACCACTCAACTAACCAATCAGCGACTCAAAAGCACCTTAGGTTACAACATGGTTCTAATAGCAACAACAAAGATGAGGACAATAATGGCTGGCTGCTTGTATCCTGGTATGCCTGTCTACTAGTGTTGGTAGCCCATCCCTGTTGCAGACGTCTACTCAGACACATTTGCGTTTGTTCAACACACACAGAAGCCACCAGCAGTTCATACTCGATGCTGAACGGAACTGAGTTACAGTTTGGGGGATAGAGTGCATTATATGGCGGGATCAACAGTTTGAACAAGGCCCGTGAGCTTAACTCCCTCGGTCATGATGACTTGTAACTTGATGCTAACTCAACCATCGAAATAGACAACCATAACTTTGTCGTTCTTTTCCTATATAATATCATTCCATCCTTTCAATATAATTACTGGTTTCTTTCTTTAGTATATTCTTCCTGTATCATTCCTTTCTTCCTTCTTTCCTTCTTGTGTCATTTATCAAACGATTCCAGCAAACAATGCTCCAAAGAATCTGCATCAATTGAGAGGACAGAATCACCAACAACGAGCTCCTCTCCTGGACATCTCTCGCCAGCATCACTACCGCCGGGCGGGTCATGTGTCCAGAATGCGTCCCACTCGACTCCCAAGTATCATCCTGTATGGAGTGCTCATCAATGGCAAGAGGCTATGGGGATGCCCCAAAACGACAATGCACAAAAAGCATTGGTTGAAGACATCCCTGACACATTGACCCTGTGACCGTTGCAAATCGGTGTTCCTGGAGTAGAAACACCTCGTAGGTGGGTGAAGATTTTCGAGTCCAACCGTAAACAACCAAGACCTGCTAGGTGCTGCCAGAGGGCGCGCGGCTGACTCGTCCAACTGCGTCCTCCATCCACACTCCCCTGTGACTTCTGCTTACAACTCTTTAGGAGTAGACTTGGCAATCACAGCTGTCTTCGCCACAGTCTTCAGGGGTGAGAAAGAGAACAGGGCGAGAGGATGATGATCTAGATGCTCGGATGCGAACCGATGCCGACGATCATTCCTTCCACAATTCTTTCCTTTATTCCTTCTCATATAATTATTTTCTTCTTTGCTTCCTATGTGGTCTCTTTCTTCTTCGAATCCTTTCAATATCATTCCTAAGGTGTTTCTTTTATATATATATATCTCATTCCATTACAACCTTCCAGTATTCCTCCTGTTTTTCTCTTTTACTTCCTTCCTTGGTTCATTCCTGATTTCTTTCTCTCCTTCCTATATAAGTTGTTCCTATATCTCAATCTTTTTTTTTCTTTTCTTCGTACATCCTCCCCTTTTTCCTCATCTATATTTTTCTTTTCTTCATTCCTTGTTCTTTCCGTTCTTCCTTCATATATTAGTCGTTCCTTACTTTTTCACCATTTCATATATCTCTTCATTTTAAATGTTCTTTTTATTTTTCCTTTATTGCAAAACTCTTTCTTCTAAACTTGCTTTGATATTTCATTTTCGTCGTCATTCCTATAGTTTTTCTTTCCTTCATTTATTCTTTATTTAATTTCCTTTCTTTTTTCCTTTCTTTTGGGTCTGTTTCCTTTATGGTTTTCTTCATTTCTTCCCATTTGTATGTGGTTTATATTTTTGTTCTTTTTTGTCTTTCTTTCGTCTATCATTCCTTTCGAATACCTGTGTCTTTTTTGAACCACCTTCCTTTCTTCCTTTCCCAACCCATTATTCTTTCTTTCTTTCTTTCTTTCTTTCTTTCTTTCTTTCTTTCTTTCTTTCTTTCTTTCTACAATTCACTCATTTCTTGTTTCTAACGTTCCTTTCCTCTTTCTTTCATTCGTTTTTTCTTCTTTCCTCTCTTCTTTGAGTATTCATTTTATCACCTTGTTTCTTTCTTTCCTTTCTTTCTTTCTTTCTTTTTTCTTTCATTCTTTCTTTCTTTCTATCTTCTATTTATTTAATTCATCATTATTTTATGTTATACACTATCGTGCAAAAGTTTCGGACCATCGACGTAAATGATTAAACACATTTATTTTATTACGAAGTTATAATTATTTAACAGGATGCCTTTATCAATAGAGTCTGTGGTCCATGAAGATCGGAAAATAAGATGTTGCGCTTTCGTAGGTGTTGCATAATATAAGATCCGCCGCTTTAAGCAGCTTGAAGCTAAAGAAAGACCAAACAAAACTATTGAGCCAATGAAAGATCCAAGATGATAAAGTCATGATAATATGCCAATTTCAAAGTGGGAATTGTTCCATTTTATTAATAGTAATATGTCATAGAAAGCCATTTCAATTGAATATTCGCTTGCATTTGTACACAAAACTCATGGTTAAAATTTCTGCTAAAACAAAGAGAAAGTTTGTGATATTGAAGAAGAAGACGATTCGTCAAGTGACAGCCAGGCAATTGGAATTTTGCAGAAAAAGGGTTCAAACCACGCAAAAGAGATTTGCTACTATTGGAAGTGTTTTAAGTGCAAAGAGAGGCAGATCTTTACAAAAGTTAGACAAGAGAATTGAAATAAATATTGAAAATGTTTCGCCAGTCAAACCAAAATTAACATCTGAGGAGGGAATACAGGATTAACAGTGAGATTTCCGTTGATACAGTATACGGATTATTACAAAAACAAATTGAATGGGTGTATAGCAGCTAAAAAACGCCACTAACCAAAAAACATCGGAATAGAAGATTGATTTGATTTTTTTTAACGGTATATCAACACCCTTGTGGGTCATTTACTTTTCTTGGGAGCTTTGTTTTTTTGTCTATCGCTGGATTTATTTCTATTATAATCTATTGCCGGATTTTTTTTTTTTTTTTTTTTGCTATTAAAATCTATTTCTCTGGAAATCATTATTATAAAAATGTATTTTTATACTGTCATAGAGTTTCGACTCCAGTTTTCAGCTTCATTATTTGCCATAGATGAGACCTTAACAAGTGGTACCCCCCACCCCGAGTCAGGATAGACCTGGGAAGAACAACAATTGTGAGGCCTTGCTGCCGGATGTAGTTTATTGTCATACCGAGGACCACTGAAGCGGTCAGAAGAACATCTTATACAGGATATTGGAAAATTAATTTTTAGTGATGAATGTAAAATGTTACATTCTAATGCAAGGGAATATATAAAGAGACCGCCGAGAGAAAGATCCATTTAAAGATACAACAAAAAGACGGTAATTTTTTGTGGTGGATGCATAATGGCATGGGGTTGCATCAAAAGCGATGGTAGAAAATAATTAGTTGAATATTCAAGGAAAAACAGTATTTGTTTACTACGTAAATGGAACATAACGGTGTCCCTTGACACACATCACGTGCAACAGAAAGGATTCTTGTGGGGGATGGTGTTCAACTCTTTGAAAATTCGTCAATAAAAAGTCATGGTCTAAATCTAATTGAACCATTCCGATGGAAAGTGAAGAAACAATTGCACCAACGAAAACCATGCAGTCTCCAAGAGCTTTGGAATTACTGCAAAGAAGAACGTGAAAAGATTCCGAACGAGAACTGAGGCAGTTATTCGAGTTAAAGTTAGCAATCAAACTTTAAGAATGATTTGAAATAGGTTTCTCACTAAAATTAGAACCAATTTTATTGGCCCTCCCCACTTTTGACAAATCATCTTAAAATGGCTCAAGTTTAGGGTATTCTTCAAATGAGCTCTAATTTTAAACTCCCATGGGATTTAGATTTTGGTCCTGATTTGACCCTTCAAAGACACATTGTTTCCATTGATTTTAGCTATTCTTTTCCTGTAGTATATTTCGGATGATAATCATGCTGAAATGTCCAACTTTTACGAAGTTAAACCATTTGAGCCTTGCGTTCCTGAACAATTATTACCCTTCTGCCACTGTTCAACTAGTGGCTAGGTATTACGTCATTTTTCTCTACCACCGGTAAAGCAGTGGTCTGGTTTCAAGAGTATTTTTCATTGCGTCCACGACGCTACCGAATGTGACACACAATCAGTTTAAAGTGAGTTTAACGGCAATGCATTGGGAAAATTTCCCTCGGCCCCCTTGGCACTTACCCTTTTGAGGATGTTTTGTATTTTCTCAGATAATAAAGAACATTTTGGCAAAATATTACGTATCCGTGTTCTCCGTTGGAGTGTTCAAGTCAGGATGAATGAAAAATACTCCAAGTCGAAATGTGCTGTCGTTAAAAGAAAATTTTTTCGCTGTTTATATATATATGTTTATGTGTGTGTGTCTGTGTGTGTGTGTGTGTGTGTGTGTGTGTCTTGAACAATAAAATCCATTTCAGACACAGTGGGTTGTATATTAATATTTTTGTAGTATTTTTAATTACGTTCCTCGACTAGTTTCGACCAGCATGGCCATCATCAGGAGAAAAAAAATCCATGCTTCTTAGTACCAGTGACCTATAAAAGTGATGCTAATCTCTGCGGTAGTTAAACTTGGACTGTAGTTTTCTTTTTTTTTTTTTTTTTTTTTTATAGATAATTTTGGGTCAGTTCTGTGATTGGCTCAAGATTTTCTTTTTTTTTTAAGGAGAGGTATATAAAAAGATTTAATGTATTTTTTTTATAAGCGTTTCACCCTAAGCAAGGCGGGAAGCCACTAGCACACAAGGGGTTACAGAGAGTTGGAGCGAGAGCAAATAGGAGTGATAGAGGAAAGGATGAAGATAAGGTTAGGGGATAGATCAAGGCATCTGGAGACGTCGATTGAGATTACATTTGAATAGTTGGAGATTATAGCTATCAGGGAAACAAGAAAAGGGGAGGGAATTCCACAGGCGAGAAGTGCGGGACATTAAGCTATTGGAGTAGAAGAGACTGCTACATTTAACAGTTTCGACAGTGAAAGGGTGAGAGCGAGATGCCAGCCTAGTAGAATGCTTAAATTCATGAAGTCTGGAAACCATCGAAAGCAGCTCATCGGAGCAGTTACCGTGAAAGTATTTGTAAAAAAGACAGAGGGAGGCGACGGCACGTCTGTGAGAGAGCGACTGCAGACGAGATGTCAGATCAGGGCCAATTACATTGCATATCCGTCTTTGGATTTCATCAAGGACATTGAGACAATTAGAAGGAGCTTCAGACCATATATGACAGCAAGATTCCATGCAAGGGCGAATGGTTGATTTGTAGATTGGAAAGATCGACTCCAGCGAGAAAAATTTCCTGGTGCATCACAGGGGGCCAACTTTTATTTTTTTTCAATATATTTATTTTTCAATCAGATATTTTTATTATTTCAAAATGACTTATTTGTAGTGGATACTCGTATTTGAAATGACGCACCTTTTTTTTTTTATTTCAAACAGTATATATATATATATATATATATATATATATATATATATATATAATTATTTATTCGAAAATTATAACATAAATGTGTTATAAAATTACTACAAAAATATCCATTTTGTTTCAGCACTTCTGGTGTTTCATCAAGTGATGGTGTTGAATGTAGAATACACTAATCGCCAATCCTATACTATATATATATATATATAAAACAAAATTCAAAATTACCTCATATGGCGGGGATGTATTCAATCGACAAAAACTACGCCAGTCTTCTTCAACACCGGGGTTGAATAAGACTGGCGTAGTTTTTCGTCGATTGAAATATATCTATCACCCCCGCCATATGAGGTAATTTGGATTTGTTTTTAATACTATATATACATATATATATATAATACTATATATATATATATATATATATATATATATATATATATATATAGTATTACACACACATATATATATATAGTATTATATATATATATATATATATATATATAGTATTACATATATATATATATATATATATATATATATATATATATATATATATATATATATATATGTGTATGTGTGTCTATGAAAATTCAAATTCACTCGCTGTAAAGCGGTGTTTAATCTCCGCTGTTGAAATATCTGAGACGCGCCATGATTGCTGATGATTTACATGAGAAAAACAAGTATTTGTGTCTATTTCTATTAGAGGACGTTAACCTTACTAAATAAATAAATTTTACCAAAATCTTCAAATTAAATGACATTTCCAGAAGAGTGTGCGACTAATAGACAGTGGTACATTGTCGGGCGGTGTTTAGTGTTCACTGTAGAAATATTTCGGAAGGATCTTGATTTCTTACGACTTACATTAGAAGACCAAATAATTGTGTATAATGTTATTTGAGGATATTAAACTTACTATATAAAAAAGGAATTTTACCAAAATCTCAAAATTAAATGACGTGTACTGAAGACAGCCTTGTCGGGCGGCGTTTAGTGTTCGCTTAAGAAATATTTGTGAAGCAACCTAGTCCCTTTGTTTAGCACCAAAAAGCTAAATATTTTTTTTCTCCAATTCTGTCAGATGATTTTAATCTTGCTATATAACAAAGGCATTTTACCAAAATTCTTAAAATTAAATGACATTTACAGAAACCAATGCGACTAATACGGAGTTGCGCGTTGTCGGGCGGTGTTTAGTGTTTTCTGTAGAAATATTTGGGAAGCGGCCAAATTCCTTATGATTTAGATCAGAAAACCAAATAAATGTGTCTAATTCTGTTACTGGAACTTAATCTTAAAAAAAAAAAAAAAAAAAAAATTACGCTGTAGAAATATTTTGGAAACGCCATGATTCCTCATGATTTGTATCAGAAAATGTCCCTAATTCTGTTACAGGATTTTAATCTTATTATATAACAAAATTTTTTACCAATAGATTAATATGAAATGACATTTACATTAGCCAATCCTACAGACACGGTGTCGGGCGGGATTTAGTGTTCACTGTAGAAATATTTGCGCAGCGCCATGATGTGTTACATCAGAAAACCAAATAAATATGTCAAATTCTGTTACAGGACGTTAATCTTACAAAATAGAAATTTTACCAATAATTCACAATTGAATGTCATTTACAGAAACCAGTCTGACTAATTCCGTTGTCGGGCGGTGTTTAGTGTTCGCTGTACAAAAGTTTAGGAAGCATCATGTTATTTATTTAT